CGACTAGATCATACAGATCAGACCAAATCCGACCAGAACTGACAAATTAGACAAAAAATCAATGTAATTAAAAATGTTTTTGATGAATTCCTTCTTAAAATTTAGAACATTGTATATATGAGATTAAAATTTAAGAAATCTTCTGAAAGTTTTTATGATTAAAATTTGGAGTTAATTAGCTTAATATGGAGTTATATAATCATTATACAAACAGAAGCGATCGAGATAGACATATAAATTTAAATTATCTTATTATAGATTTAATCATTCATATTTTAAAAATATTCGTGAGTATAATACAATAATATCAAAGATACACATTATGCGTGTAGTGTATTTAAAAATAAAACATTATGCGTGTAGTGACAAACCCTGATGGATCTTAGTGACTCTTGAAGATGTAATTGATGCATGATAGAACAAAATAATATCGCATCCTAATAGATCCCGAGGCGGCCCTGGGAGAAAGGGGGGCGGGTGCCCTAGACCCAAAAAATGGGTAGAAAGTAGGCCCGATTTTAATTCTTTGTAATTGATGTGAGGAAGCTGATTTCAGTCCTAAATTGGCAATTTTTTTGGGTGAAATTTGTTAATGTTTTTCGCAATGGATTATTTTAATGAAAACTTATGATCACATTCTCAATGAAGTCTAGATGATGTAAAAAAGAATTTGTTTAAAGTTTAATTTAGAAATCAATTAAATAAATTATTGAAAAACACCGCATTTTTATACATATTTCGCACATTGTTTTTCAATAATTTATTTAGCTGATTCACGATTGAATTTTAAGATAAAATTCTATGCACATAATCTACACTTGATGAAAACATTTTCTTAAAAAAAAATTATTAAAAAATTCAATAAAAAAACTATTAGTTTATGACTGAAAAATCATACTCCCTCCGTCCCCTTTTAAATGTCCCCTTTTACCATATTGGGGTGTCCCTATTTAATTGTCACATAACTTATTTGAAAAGTTTGTGTGACTCAAAATCATTATTACTTTATTCTTACTTTATCAAGTCTCATAACTTATTTGGTAAAGTTTGAGTGTCTCATAACATCTTTTAAGCAAACCTAAATTATTTCAATAAAATTGTTTAAAAATATTTCTAATAACTTCCATATTATTCCTAAAATAAAAAGAAGAGTGAAGTATAATAAAATGAAAGTGGAAAAATTAAAATAGCAAGACTGTATGTGTTAAAATTTACTAAATATAAATTTGTCTTAAGCTATTTCAAGTTATGTCCACCTTTCTAATTAAGGATATTTTCAATTGAAATCAATTTTTTTATCTCACTTATGAAAGTTAACATTATTTTTAATTTAGTGTATATATTAATTTAATCTTGATATATTTTGACCGAAAGTTACATTTCAAGTCTTGGAAAGTTTTATTATAAATTACAATCATATCATGAGACTAAAACTATTGTTTAAGAGCTAGATAAATAAACTAGATTGTATATAAAAGGTACATAGTAATTATTTGGTCGTGCAAATTGAGATCATTTTTCATTGCTGCATATGAGACATTTGTCTTTTTTATTTCATTGCATAATTTGACATGCTTATGTTTCGATTATAGCCACATCTTGATGTGATGAGATTCTTTTTATAGGATTTATTCATCTTATCTTCTATAATACAATTGTCTATTGAAAGTCTAAAACATGAATTTTTTTTTCTTCATTCAATAACACTTATTTTACTTAATAAGATCATTGAAACCTTCAATAACTCAACCTAACGAAAAATAAATTGATCGCTTTCAATTACAATATGCAATCCATTGTCGCCATCATCACATTCATTAAAATCGGAATGCAACAAAACTATATATTCTAAACTCTTTTCTTAAAAAAGAAATCAGAAGACTAATTTGAAAATTTCTAAAACATAGTAGGGCTAATATCTTTAAAAATTTGACTTGACTCTTTTTTAAATAATTAAGTTACAAAAATGTGTAGTTAGTTTTGAAAAAAACAGTAAGCCACGAATTAGATTTAATGGATAAAAATAGCCATTGAACATTTTAAATCAATGATATAATCGACTAAATAACTAATTTTTCTTTAGTAAAACTAGATAAAAAAAAATCATTTTGTCCCGTGCACGGCACGGGTAAAGATACTAGTAACTAAAACAATTAAAAAAACTTTTAGTAGAATTAGAAACATTCAATAATTCAATGTAAGAATGTTTGTTACATTGGAAATTGGAAAAACTTATCAAATGGGCCGTAAATCCCGTAATATTGCCTATCATTCTATCAAGCTATTCACCGTGTCGGGCTTACTAGTGTACATTGGAATTCTTGATTATCTGAAAAAGAGAGTGATAACAACTAGGCGTGGGCCCGGGCTGGCGGTTCAGGAATGGGGGGCCCGGATGCGGCCTGGGTACTCCCCGGGTCTGGGTCGGGCCGGGCCTTAGTTATTTATTTTTTCCTTTTCCTAGTTAACCCCCAACCCCCCCAGCTCACCCCAAACCACCCCAAATGGCCCAAAATACCCAGCCCAACCCGAAAACAAAAAAAAAATTGAAAAAAAAAATGAACCGGAACCGAGCCCGAACCGACCGGACCGGAACCCCAGCGGGTCGGGCCTACCCGGACCGGTCACTGACCGGGCCATCGGGCCGGGACGGAACAGTGCCGGTTTGGGCCGGTTCCGGGTCGGGCCACCCGGCCCGAGTCCACCCCTAATAACAACAGTATAATTTAATTAATTGGTATATCAATAAAGGTATTTTTTTTAAAAGAAAACTGCTTATATTAATATCATTAGCGTTCAGATCGTTACATCAAATTCAAAGACATCCATACTGACAATCACAAACTCTAACCAACTATCACTATCAACTCTACGACTAGACATAGAAACGACCACCCTTAAAAGAGCGATACGAATCGCTAACCACCAAACGGGTATCCAGCACTCACTGGCTATATCGATCCTTATAACAATATAATATCTAGCAAAATTGTCCCTCATTATTTTAGGCCTAAAACTACAGAAATTAATAAAAAAACAGAACAACGTAATTAAGCAAAACACTAAAAGACACCCATAAAAAATGAAACAGCTGATAAAAACTCCAAACTCTTTCTGAAAACTTCATCTTCCCCCAAATCTTGGCCTCTCGATCTTTCCAAGGCGGCGGTTCAGGAGGGGGACGAATCATCAACTCATCATCTTGTTTCTCCCTTTCCCGAATCTGGATTTCACTGTGCCAGATCTGCCAAAACAACTGAGTCAGTCGCCTTCCCAGCCGTTTGGAGGCCAAATCAGCCCCTTTCTTCAAGCCCGAACCCATCATTGTACCTCCCAGATAAAAAACCACAGGTGTAATTTCCATCTCAATGACCAATAAGGCCAAGATAACCCAGCCCAGGCCAGCATCGAATTACCACGCCTCGCTACCTTACTGGTTGCAAATCCACAACCTCCTCCAGAATCGATGATCGCCAAAGACAGCCGGCCATCGCTGTCACCCTGCTCCATGTCGTTTGCCCAAAAACACTAAATCAAACTCGTCCGGTGAAGTTGCTGTCGAGCGAGACACCTGTTGGAGTCCTAATGCTTCCTCGCGAACAGTCCAGGTGCTTCGAGTGAGACGGAATCGCCGTGCGAAGAGAAGAAGAAAAAACGCGGACGAGCAATATATATCGCCGCCCCAACCCTAGGCACGAAGCCTCCCGCCCGCTATTCTTATTTTCAATAAAGGTATTTTCTAGAAAGTGAAATGTGAAAGTAAAATATATTATCAATTTCAATATAGAATATCAACTGAGTCAGTAATTTAATAATTTATAAAAAGAAGTGATGGCTTCACTTGGTCAAGAGAATATCACAAGTATAAACTGACTAACCGAGTAAGAAATTTGACAGCGTAACAACATGCTAGATAATTAGAATTATCATTCTTTGCAAACGCTACAAGGTGATATTTATAGTGTATAAGAAAATACTTGGTGAAAAACTAAAAGTAATTGAGGATAAAATATCTGGTTTAATTGATTAATTGGAACAAGTGGTTGTCCTTTGCGAATCAGAATGACGTGTAAACCTGACGGTGGCTAATGTAATCAAATGCATGACGTCAACCCTAACATAGCTGTGACAAGGTGACACCATCCTGAATGTTGTGTAATCTTTAGCATCGAAATGTCTAAACCCGCAATCTCTATTTGAGTTCATGAGCTCATCCTCAATGATGCCCATGGATGTGTGTGTGATGACGTCAAGCTCGGGTGTGATGAGGTTAAGCTCATCTTGATTGCGGGGAGGGGGGTGGGGGCTTGCTATTTTGATCCTAGGGTTCTGGAGACGTGTCGAGCCTCAAGCTCGTATGCTATCCTAGGAATGTCGTGAACCTCAGCCATGGGTCGACCTCGGTCCCGGAAGTTTGAACTTATCTTGATGACACGAGGACGGTTCTCGAGCTTGGTCTTGGCAAGCTCGGCCTCAACTGAAATGGGCTTAGCGCATTCTGGAGACTGCTTAGCTTAAATGTTGATACCGCTGAGATATATGAGAATCTACTCCATCAAGATGTCCTACGTTTGAAATTTCCGAAATAAGAATGCTATGTTTTTATTTCTAAATATGAATAATTACTACTGAAAATGATAACAAATTTTTAAAATGGCAGTAGCACATTCCTAAGAAAAAAATTGCAGTTTTATTTTGAAATTTTTAACATGCTTACTCTTATTTAAGGAATTTTTCCATTTATAAATGATAAGTTTCATATTGAAAAACAAGTTCATATTTTAAAGGTAACAATGTAATTATTATTTGAACATATTAAAAATCATTCTAGAAGCTCCCAGCTTTTCAAAATTATTCCAGTGTCCCTTTGTTTTGAAAATAAAAAATCCCTGCTCTCTCTCTCTCCAGCAGATTAGCAACTTTCACTTGGATCTAGTCCAATCTTGCTCACTCCAGCAGATTGGCAGCTTTCACTCAAAAGGTTGGCTGGTTCGGGTGGATGAATATGAGGTGATTTTTTACCTCAAATGTGGGAATATATTTTTATTATACATGGATCGAGTATTTGAGTGTAATCAGCCTCATAAAGCGGCAATATGTTAATCTAAAAACATTTTATACAAGTTTTTCAACCACAAAATAAACAATGCATCACAGTCTATTAAGATCAACATGGGAAGCTTTGGAATCAAAAGCAGCTAGCTTGGTACTTGGTAGTAAACTCAATTGGACAGGCAGTTTTTCATTTCCATTCCCATTTCAAAAAGAGTTTAGAGTTAAATCACAACTTGAGTCAATATAATCATCAGATATATTGTAGGATGCATCATCGAAGTCGTCAAGAAGTTCCATACTCCCCCCACCCAATGAATATGTTTCGCCTCTCCCCGCGTGAACTACCACTCTTCTCGCCTCCTCAATTATACCCAATATCTCCTCCAAGCTTTGTGTAGGATTATTCACATCCATGCTTTCATAGCTCCCGAACTCCATTAGTTCTATAGGCAAGTTCTTCACAAACCATGGGTGTCTTCTAATTTCAGTAATCTTTATCCTCTGCAAAACACAATGGGTCAACATTATACTACCAACACATATCTCTTTTAGAGCCTGTTTGGTAACCTAGTTTTTTGTCTTATCAACCTACTTCTACCAAACAATGAACTTGCTGAATTGTGTCATAATCAAAATAAGAAAGGCTAAAGTATAATTTTTTCATAATTTAATACATTCATACAATTGAGCTGTTTAAGCTAGAATTTCATAGCAGATTCAGCTCATTCAGTCAATTTCAATCAATTTCAATGTTATCTAATAGGCTCTTATCGTGTCTTTATTCAAGTCTATGCATATACAACGAGTTGATTCTCATATTAATTTAACAACCACAGTGGTGTCATACTTTACCTCTTCCGGATTTGCCACAAAGATTCTTGACAGAAGATGCTGGCACTCGACGGAGATGTGAATATTATTGGGGATTGAATATTGGGTCCCAAGTATTCTCTGTAAGCCAGAAAGGATTTGTAAAGAATGCAGTCAAGAGGAAGAAATAATAAAGTGTGTTTGGTAAAGATTATCTGGCTGATTTTTTAAATCGAAAAAGCGTTGGGCAACACTTATTTTAGTCGAATAAGTAAGTCAAAAGTTGTCTACTCTGCTCATAAACAACTTTTGGCTAACAGAGCCCAAGAGCCTAAGAAATGGATGCCAGTATGTCACTCAACGCTCTTCCATTCATTAATTTAAGCCAAACAATCTTACCAAACAGAACCTGAGTATTACTCTCTTTTTATTTTATTCTGAAATGTGTTAGGATATTATTGGGAGTTAGTTGCTCACAGCAATGGTCTTTCTGAAGTTTTTTGGATCACTTGGATCTTCAAAAGGATAAGCACCAATCAGCATCACATATAGAGTGACTCCACAAGACCAAATATCTGCAAGCTAAAGTAGTTTTCACTTTTCAATGATACATTACTTCATTAAAAGGTCATTAATTAATGTGCAACAAACAGTTCCAATGACAACATAAGAAGGAAAAATGAGATGTGGGTATAAGCACCTTCCCATCATACTCTTTTCTTGTCAGCACCTCAGGAGAAACATATGCCGGTGTTCCCACAGTTGATTTCGGTTGAGAATGAAACACTTCTGACTGCAAAAGGTTTTAAGGTCATTTGCTTTGATTATATGATGACAAGAATGTAACTCTCTACTCTTAAAACAACAACAGCAATTATTACTACTTGATGTTCCATTAAAAGCGAATCACATAATGCTCTTTTATCTCTTATTTCATATTTAGTCAATGTAAGACAGCTTTTTCAGCAACATAAATAGTAAGGATAATAAAGAAGATTGACCTTAGAGTAGCCAAAATCACAAATTTTGACACGTGGGGCAGTACTTCCATCTAGTAATGTGTTTTCCAATTTGAGATCTCTATGACAGATTTGCTGAGAGCCAATATAATAACCATGGACTATCAACATTCAACAAACAAGATGGATAATATGATAATACTACATAGATATTGACAACATTATTACTATTACCATTGAATGGCAGTAGGAGACGCCATATATGAGTTGTTGAAAGAAGAACCTTGCCTGACCCCAAACAAGACAAAGACCCATCCAGCGATCAGTTACACACTCAAGTATGGTGGCAATCCCATATTTGAACAACTAGATTATATTAAATGAGAAGCAAATGTCTTAAATGTATATCACTAAAACATAATCGCTTCTCATATGATTACTGATATAGTATTCGAATAGAATATGTTGTCAAAGGAGAAGGGTAGAGACCAAAGTAAAATTTAAGTTTTAATGATGCACAAACCTCATCTTCATTAAACCTTCCAACACTGCAAATCCTGTGAAAGAGTTCACCTCCGGCAGCATACTCCATAACTATTGCTAGATGTGTAGGTGTCAGCAAGACCTGCATCATTTCAATCATACTCCCCAATTCCTCGTCATGATCTTATTCGAAACAGAAAATGAAGATCGAAAAAACTTCTGTTCAGAAGACTAGTGATCATATATATATTGGTTGATTATTTTATACTGGGACAAATATATTAAATACGTTTTATTTTAGTAATATTCTGGTAAAAAACCCTATATACTGCTTCTATATCTTAATAAATACTTCCACAAAATTATACTAGCAATAGATGATATTCGATTCATTTATAGAAACAGACATTTATAGTCCGTTTGGTAATCTCATTCGGCTTATTATGGTCAATAGCGGCTTTTAACTTTCTTTTTTGGCTTAAATGTATTTTGCGAAACATAATTCTTCACAAAAATCAATATTATTGGGTTGGAGTCCATCAGCTAGACCACAAGACACTCACTTCAAACCACACTAAGGTTGAAATCTATTAAGTAGTTCAACATAAGGTCTTATTACTTTCTATCGTTCCATAAAGGAACTTATTCAATCAAAATCCATAATTAGTTAGTCAGAGCCTCAGAGGAAAAAAGAATAGAAAGAAAAAATCATTTCTTTAAAGTAAGTAGCTAGAGAAGTGAGCAATTAGTTCTGTAACTCACCTCCTTGAATCTGACTATGTTAGGATGCTTCAATGATCTGTGATTCATGATTTCCCTTTCCACCAGCTCATCAATCTGTCATTCATAGAAATGAAGGCAAAGAAGACAGATACCAGCAGACAATAAGATAAATGGACTATGCATGTTATAGAACTTAAAGAAAAAGGAATGATCTTGATCAGAAAGAGAAGGGAAGTGGGAAAAAGAAGGGGAATTTAAAAAAAAGACTGAAAGACCTTTTGGCCCCTTTCAATGAATTTAACAGCAAAGAGGTCTTTGGTGCTCTTATCCCTCACAAGCTTGGCCACCCCAAAGTTACCAGACCCCAAGTCCTTCACTATTTCGTACCTATCCATTTCAAAACTTTTCAAAGTTTTGAAAAGTTTGCTGAATAAACAAAAGATGGAATCTTTCCTGCAGTAATGTTTTCCCTGGCCACTTTCTTGCTTCCTCTTTTGACTTCCAATTTCCAATCTTCTGTACGAGCTTAATGAAATGGCTATGGGTGCCCAGTTTTGTAGATAAAAGGAGGATAGGTCGGTTCCACCAAAACAGTGTGATAAGAAGAAGCTTCCTTGTTGGGAGTCCCGCAGCAGGGAAGCTTAGGGGGACTGGACTAAGTTTCTTTTAGGAAAAAAATAGAGGATAGAGTGGGATTTAATTGTTGGAGGACGCGTGGATATAATTACACAGTAAATGCCCCGATCCCGAGAGAGAAAATGGAAGGAATGACATGTGTCGCCGCATCAAAATCGGCTGTGCTGGTTTTTTTTGTTTTTTTTGGACATAATCGGCTGTGCTGGTTGAGTATATAAATGATGAGGACTAGACTATGGAGTATATGACTATAGTGTGCACTCTTTAAAGTCTTAAAATGCTACCAATACCCATGTATTAGAGCCATTTTGATAACACTAAAAACTCGTGAATCAAGTCAATCTATAAAAATTGATGACATTTTAATTGATGTGATTGAATTAATTTAATCTATTGAATTATATTTATTAATAAAATTAAGAAAAATTATATAAAAAATTAACTGAAAGTAATTTTAATCAAATTTAATCAATATTATTTATTTTGATTATTACGAAACTCGACACTTGAAATCAAAAATCGTGAATTTAATAGAAAAAAGGGGGGGATAAGATCGATAAATTAAAAATAACCATTACCAAATAGACGCTTAACTGAGTGTCTTAGTCTACTACTACTACTCCAAATCCATAAACATTTGAAAGGAATTATCAAATCATATTTCTTTTCTTTTTTAAAATGGGTTACATAAAATTAGTTTTAATTTTGGAAAATAATAATTATAGTAGTAATAATTTATCTCAAAATCTAATTAAAATCCTTATTTTTTTCAATGATGAGTGATTTACACAAGTTTCTACATTTTAATTTTTGTATTATTTAAAAAAGTCTCTAAAAGCCTGTATTTGTATGATTGACATGACAATTTTAAAGAACTTACTTTAGAGGCTACATTTAATAGCATCTGAAAAAAGTTTGTAATTTTAGCATCAATTAGTCACAATAACTTATATACCAAATATTACTAAATCAAATATTCAGTTTTTATCAAATAGTTGCCGTGTTTTTTAAAAAACTTTTCAATTATTAAAAGTTAACAATTGTGAAACATCACAAAAATATCTTTTCTCACTGATTGTGTCAAATTGCATAAAAAAAAATTAATTGTGTCAAACAGTTCCGACTATTTTTCTAACTATAAAAAGGTGAGTTTTGTATGATAAATGAATAAACCCCAATTTTTCATAGTTCCGACTCAATCACTGCCAAACCATCACAAGAGTTTGTGAAACAATTGACTTCCGGCAACCACAATCGTGAGTCGTGACACTGATTGTATCATTAAGGGAAAATGGAAACTAATAATCCAACCTTTTAGCGGTCTTCTTTTAATAGTCCCACCTTTTCATTATTCATGAATAATCCAACTTTTGCACCTCATCTTCATTCACTAGTCCCCGACTAGTTGATGACATGTTATTCCAAGTTATTTTCTTATCTTTGCAAAATATTATCTTTGTGAAAGGTGGAATTTATGGTATAATAGTTTGCAGAGATAAGAAAATAACTCGGAATATCAGGTCATCAACCGGTCGGGGACCAATGAATGAAGATGAGGTGCAAAGGTTGGATTATTCATGAATAACGAAAAGGTCAGACTATTAAAAGAAGACCGCTAAAAGGTTGGATTATTAATTTCCATTTTCCCTATCATTAATTGTTACAAGTCTCATACAGTCACTTTTCACAAATTTACACAAAACTCACCTTTTTATTCATGGTAACTTTTTTTAATGATACGGAGTATCACATAAAAAAACTGCACTATTAAGGGACACAAATTATACCGTGGGATCATCCCACGGTGAGCACGGTGCTTCAAGCCCAAAAACGACGCAGTTTTGCAATTTAAAAAAAACACGGGTGAACAGTAACTCGCGTGAATAGTACACGCATGAACAGTAACTATTTTTGTATTTTTTCTTGTTCGAGTAGCAGAATGATATAACTCGTGTGTATAGAAATGTAACTTACGTTAATAAGAAATGTTACTGCAAGCAAGTCAAAATGTAAATTGTCTAAAACATTGATTTCAATGTAAACAATAAAAAAAGAAATGTAATTGCTTTATTGTTTTAGCTAAATAGTGAATATGTTTTAAATAAATACGGAGTATTTTTTTCCAATAAACTGTTTTTTTTTTTTGCAAATAAAAAATTGATTTAAAAAAATGTTTTTTTATTTCAATAAAGGAGGTTTATTTTGTGATGTAACTGTGTTATGGAAAATGTAACTCGTGTTATAGAAAATATAAACCACGTTTACACAAAATGTAATTTGCTAAGACAAGTCCAAATGTAACTCGTGTACATGATGATGTAAATCACGGATAAAAAAATGTAACTCGGGAACAAAAAAATGTAACTGTGTATATTTTCAAATGTAATTTGAGCCAAATCAAAATATAATTCCTTCTTATTTTCTTGCTTCAGACTTGAAATCAATTTCCAGTGTTATAGAAGTATTATTCGTCCTTGAAGATTGAGTTTTCACGTGGTAGTGGGTTCACTTGGAGTAGTAGTTCAAATCGCATGAGCACAATATTATTGCTTTTACCGGACTTGTTCTTGGAGTAGTTCACAGAATTGTATATACCTCTCTGATCTACTCGTATTGCTTAATAACTAAGTCGGCCGCACCAGTTATCCCAAGCGAATGAGTTGATTGCTTTTTAATTAATAAAACCGTGTCGTTTGGGTGTGGGAGCAGGGTGCTCAACCTGTGGTGATACCACGGTATACGAACTCATTAAGGGGATAAATAGATGTGTTGATTTTAATCCAACATAAGATTGTAAATATAAATATAAAAGGTGTATGAACTAGCTATTTTTACGTGGAAATTAACCCGGAAAGGGAGAAAACCACGGGACTTTTTAGGCTAACGTCCAAGCCCGCTCTTTCCCATTAATATGCTCTCCTCACCAATTACATAGTACATATTTGGAGCCTCCATTAATGGTGCTTGAGTAACTAAGCTATCAAGAATACATAGTAGGGAGGAAGAAGAGAACTCTCCTGGGAGAGAAGAGCCAAAAGAGCCTCCTCAATCAGGAAGGTTGGCTTCCTATTTATAGATGGGGGAGGGGGTAAGGGTTTTTCTCCATGGGCCGAGTAGGCCCCAACGAGCCGGTTGGCCTAAATGATCCTGACTAACTGGGCCCCGTACTGGGGCGGTGTATTGGGCCTCTCTGAATAGTAGTAGGCCGGGGTAACATACCCCAACACAAGTCCCCCAGTTTCTTGAGTAGTGAGCCTGCAAATCTACTTGAGAAAGTATACTCTTGCTCACGTCCTTTCCTGCCTTCCCTCAGTCAGTCTTTGAATAATCTTGGGTGCAAGACATGCATAAGCCATAAGTGAGGTGCAATCCCGCACTAGGCACGACGGCGCTGTAGAGCCAACCGCTCGTGCTGCATAAAAGGGGCGGTCGCCATCCCAGATGAAGGATGGACGAGCCCGACCGAGAGCCAGTCCCGACGGTGCTGTGGAGCCCGTGCGTGCTGCATAAAAACGACGGTCGCCATCCCAGATCAAGGATGGACGAGCTCGACCGAGAACCAGGCACGACAGAGCTGTGGAGCCCGTGCGTGCTGCATAAAAGTGGTGGTCGCCATCCCAGATCAAGGATGGACTAGCCCGTCCGTGAGCCAGGCACGATGGAGCTGTGGAGCCCGTGCGTGCTGCATAAAAGCATCGGTCGCCATCCCAGATCAAGGATGGACGAGCCTGACCGAGATCCAGGCACAACGGTGCTGTGGAGCCCGTGCGTGCTGTATAAAAGTGGCGGTCGCCATCCCAAATCAAGGATGGACGAGCCCGACCGAGAGCCAGGCACGACGATGCTGTGGAGCCCGTGCGTACTGTATAAAATAATCAAAAGAAGAATGTTATCTTTTATTCCCCAGCTCAAACCGTACCAGCCAAGATCACCTGTCCGGTCTGATTTGGATGGATCACTCTAACTAGTTGGTCGGGGATGGCTACCACATTCAACGAGCCGTCGCGACATTTGGGTAGCCCAAACGTGCATGCCACGCACTTGTAAAGACAGTCGTAGAACCCCATATCCATTGGACAGGGTGCTCCACAGACTCTATCAGACACGGACCCGTCGGCCCAGGACCACTACGGGCCACCCTTTGCTTTACATCACCTCCAAGCCAGTTTGTATCCCCCGTTCGCTCGCCTTCGACGAACGGGTCGTTCTCCCCTGGCTGAAATGAGACTCAATCAATTCATAGTTCCATTCGCCCGTTCTTCCCACTAGAACGGTCCGATGAACCTATGAACGAGTGAGGTTTTTAACCAATAGTTCCAATGCAACCTGTCCGGTTTTTCCGATCCGGATCATCCATACTAATGGTCTGCCCTTCGCCTCCAAACCACAGTTTCAATGCCCCGTTCGGTTTTTTCCGGTATGGTTCATTCGTACCTATGGTTGAGGCGACAATCGAGGAGCCCTAATCTCCTTTTCTCTCGTTTGCTCTCTGGGTTTTCCATACCGTTATCGTTCGGTTTTTTTAAACATAAATACAGGGACTCACAATGATGATCACGTCGTGCTGAAGTGGCCGAGCGTAGAGCTGTAGAAGTGGTATGATCATCTAGATAGTAGGTCTTCCTCCGTGGAGCGTGAAGATGCCTCTAAAACAGTAAACATGTCGGGCCGATCATGATACGAGGACAGCGGCAGCAACTGCGGCAGCGGTCCATAAAATATGGTCATGCTGTAAAGATGTCGGTACTAAGTCACCGATCCGAAAGCTCGAACAACGATCTTCATCAGCGAAAAGCGGGGATGAAGCTGGTTTTCAAAATATGCTGATGGCGTCGTACCAGGGGGTTGGTGGCCATGTAAAGATGTCGCCGCTGTAGGCCGATCAGAAAGAAATAATCAACGGTCCTCATCCGCAAGGAGCGGAGATGAGGCCGGTCTTCGAATATGGAAAACACACTGTGTCGATAGGCCGGTCGTGATGTAATGGTGTCGGCAATGAGAGGCCGATCAAGAGTATCCATACAATGGCTCTCATCCGCGCACCGCGGGGATGATACCGGTCTTCAAAATGGTCACCATGCCGAGCCAGGAGGGTCGGTTGTGGTGAGAGAAAAGTCGGCGCTGGGAGGCCGATATGGAAATCCAAGGGTCTTACAGGCGCCCTCTGCCCATGGTGCTAGTCATTCCGTTCATGTGGCATAAAGT